CTTGAAAACCCCAATTAAAAAATAATAATATTTTTTAATTGGGGTTTTCAAGCAAAAAAAAAAAAAAAAATAAGTTTGTTGTTTTCTTTATATATTCTCCCAGAGGGCTCACGAGATAGTTTTGTTGTCTTCTTCATATTTTTTTGCTGTTGCAGTTGCATCCTCTCGCTGTTGCTCTGCCTCTGCCAGTCGTTTCTCTAGGTCTTGAATTTGTGCCTTGAGTGTTTCGTTCTGTGAAAGAACCCAAAAGATAAACTTATTTATTTATTTCCTCTTAAATTTTAATTGTTGCTTCGATTCGGGTGTCTGTGCATACACCGCAAGCTACCACGGAGAAAATGTGAAATACACTTGCCGCCTCAATGTCACTTTTCATCGCTTGCATTTCATTCTGCGTTGTGGCCAACTCGTTGCGCAGCCGGCTGACGGTGGCGTCGCAGTCTGTCTGTACACCGCAGAGCAGCACGGAAAACAGAAAAAACAAAACAAATAAAACCAGTTGCATCGCCAGAAAGAGAAAAAGAAAAAGGATACTATGGAATTAAAACGCAAACATTCAACAGCCAGACCACACGCTGTCACAAAAAACAGAAACGGATAAACAAAGCATCCTCATATCAGCTCTAAACCCTAAACCCTAAACCCTAAACCCTAAACCCTAAACCCTAGAAATATGTCGACAGACCTGAACTCGTTTCAAGACGCGTGCATATTTCTCTACAGCCATTTTTGTTTCTCGTAGTTCTTTCTCCATTTCATCTCTTTCTGAATGAGCTTTTATTAATTCCACTTCTGAAATTTATTCAACAAAAACACAAACACCAACAAACAACATTAAATATAACATTTGATATCTTCATAATTCTAATAAAATACCCTCCCTACTCAACTACAAACCCTAAACCCTAAACCCTAAACCCTAGGAGGAACCAAGGCCTGCAGGAGCAGCAGCAGCAGCAGTAACAGCAGCAGCCCGTTTTGTTGAATTGTTTTTATTTGGCAGTTATTCGATCTATTTGCATTTTTAATTGCTTTCTGCATATTCAAACATTTATATATCTGGGGTGTACAGACACCTGAGAGGCTCTGAATTTCGCGGATTTCTTCCAGTCTTCCGCTTTCTTTCTTGACGGTTTCCAGTTCTTTTTCGAGCGCATGCACTCTCTGCATGCATGCAAACACCAAATACATATCCTAGGAGTATATTTACATGAATAAATGTTGTAAAAACAATAGCAATAGATGATATATGCAACCATACACTGACACGCTCAGGTGTACGTACAGCTGCGTCCCCCCGAAGATCCGCAAGCTCCCCCAAGGCGTCTTGCAAAGCGCGGGAAACAGCAGCATGTGAAGCCTGAAACCAAAGCAAACGAGCTGATAAAAAAAATATAATTAAAAAAAAAAAAAAAAAAAAAAAAAAAAAAAAAAAAAAAAAAAAAAAAAAAAAAAAAAAAAAAAAAAAATATTTTGCTGCATGCAACACTATGGTTCCGTCTGTCACCACAAGTGCAGCGATCTGCATTCTCCTTGAAGCCGAAAAAAACAACCCAACAACTACCTCGAAACCCTAAACCCTAAACCCTAAACCCTAAACCCTAAACCCCTGAAACAGCTACCTGCCATGAACGGAGTTGAAGGAGAAGATCTTTATTCTCTTCTGTTAGTTCTTCTGATGCATCCTGCTGTTTGTTGTTTTGTCTCTTTTCGTAGTTAGCCAGCAAGTCCTTGTAGAGGTGTCTAAGAGAAACCACAAACACCACACAAACCCTAAACCCTAAACCCTACACCCTAAACCCTAATTCTAAGAAGCATAGTAACCGAGGAAACTACTGCAAAGCCCAAATCGTCGGATGGCTTTTACACGTAGCAGCAACAGGAGATAAACATGCTTCATCTAGGGTTTAGGGTTTAGGGTTTAGGGTTTGAGGGTTCAACAAACCTGACAGTATCGAGTTGTTCTGTAACCCTTCCAAGCTGAGCTTTCAGTCCTTCTATCTCCTCGTTGCCAGCCTGCGCACCGAAGGTGGGGTGTACGTACACCGCATTTCACTCCTATGCTGCAGCACTTCTTAGGTTCTCTGTATCTCTGGGTTTGTGTTTGAGGGTTTAGGGTTTAGGGTTTAGGGTTTATGGGGCTATACAGGGGAAAAGGCGGGGAAAACAACTAATCCTTTTCATTGGTTTTGTAATGTTTAGGGTTTGTATGTACAATATACATATATATATATATATATATATATATATATATATATATATATATATATATATATATATATA